TCAGTAAAGTCCGGAAAGAGAAGAAGTCAAATTTAACTTGTATATTTCTAAATTACTATTTTTATAAGCGATGACGTGTTAATATGGTAATGATCCTTAGTTTGTTAGGAATCACTTAAGTGAGAGCCACCATCTCTCAATTTTAAGTAAGAATTAAGCCTACTCGCTAAAAAAAAGCCCTAAGTTAGATCCGACATCATAATAAACGTCCTTAATTTTAGTCACATACGGCTCTTATACGTTCTTATCGATTCGGGGTCACCAGCTCCTAATGTCAGATGACAAATTAACCAAAATGCAGCACGCGTCGGCAGGCGACCATTCATCGACCGGCCCACTAACCCATAATGCTGGCAAATTAGCATCAACATTAACTCAAAGGCGGTATCGCGTTCTCTAGTTGCAAAAAAAAAAAAGAAAAAAAACACTGTTAATAACAACAACACTTGCGATGATGGTGGTAATGGCGATGACAATGGAAGACTCTGTCTTCGGAGACAGCTTCATTTGCTTCTGGGTCACGATGGTTGCCGGTGTCGAATGACTAGGGCCGTAATTTGAGTCTCAGCTGGTGGGCACAAGTCAATCGACCAGGTGCGCGGATGGAACCAAGGGGTAAGGGGCAAGAGATCGGGGGACTGGGTGACAACGTGCCATGAAACAGAATCAGAGATAAACGCGCGCACGCCCAAATGGAGCAGCATCTGCCGGGAAGTGACAAAAATAGTTAAGTAGCCGACTTAGCCAAATTGGCACTGAGCGGCCAAGGAGGCAGGCTGCAGTACGAGGAATACACTGAACAAAATTGGTATTTTATCAAATTTTACTGAATTTATTAGAGAAGAAAATAATCACTATTGAGCCCGGCTTTTATTATTATTTAAATTTTTTTATAAGTTCTATTAAATGTTTTAAAATATAAAATCTTTAAGATGTCTTTTATCAATAGGATAGAAAAGAAAACCCAATGCTCTTAGTGTCGCCAAAAACAGTAGCAGTGATTTAATGCTATATCTTAGTTCAATATTTTGAATAAAAAGCTCAAGATATTTAACTTGCGTATTGAATTTAATAAAGATGCTTCAAAAACCTTATGTCTTACAATATTAGGACTAAAATTCGATCTTTACCAAAAACAATACACACTTCTCTCGGTGTCGCAGTATCTTAATGCAATATCTTATAATTAATAAGCTTGTTTATATTGCATTTATTTACGGTAATAAAAAGTTATCTCTTTTTAAAACAATAATAATTTTTCTCAGTGTCACCAAAAGCAGCAGCAGTAAGATCAAGATGGATATTGAGACAGCTTTAGGATTGCGTTGAGGAATGAAAATGATGGTGGCAAAAGGAGTGGCGAGGGGGGGGGGCAGCCTTTGAGGGGGTGGGGCAGGTGAAAAGGGAGGAAGTGGAGGCGAAGGAGACGCGGGGCGGACAAAGTGTGCCAATGCCTGTCTTAGAAACAGGCAGTGGCGATAGTTAACACGCCAAGTGGGAAGAAAGAACGAGCGACTGAGACGGAGATAGAGGCCAAATTCAAAAGTGGACTGCGCATGCGTGGAATGGGAATGAGAACGCGAACGGAGAATCAGAGAATCGGAGAATCGCAGAATCGCAGAGTAGCAGTTGGAGAGCTGGAACACAAACAACTTTGTTGCCTTGGCACTGGCACCCATGTTGAGCTAATGAAGCGGACCAAGCGGACCAAGCGGACCAAGCGAACCAAGCGGAGCCAGCGGTAGTGGTGGTGATGACTCGGTGGAGCTCTGAGCGACCAGGAGAACGCCCGCCAAGTCAAACGTTATTTAATCACAATCGCAATGGCCTCAGCGCAAACAACAACAGCAGTCTGGTCTGGTAGAAGTAGCGACAGGTGCTCCTGCTGCAGCGGTACAGAATCCAGAGGAATGCAGCAAAGTACAAAAAAAACACCGGTCCAAAGGCTCCAATAGAGTTTGCAACACCACAAAAATACCCTTTCATACTGATATACTAGCTTTTTTTTTCAATTTGTTCCTTAAAAGTATAATAGCCCAATACTTTTCTTACAATAAAATTATTGCCTCAAAATCTTTCATTTCTTTAGATAGTTTTGATAAATATCTGTTTACCAAAATATATAAACCAATATTATTGGGCTACTTTCAGTAATCAATCCAAGTCTTAAGAAATGTGTTTTTAAAACTTGTTAGGGAAAATTATGTATACGCCCATTATGGTAGGTTAAAGGGTTCCATTAAGTAAGTCAACTAAAATTATAGGTTGGGGATGTTTTAAAACCAATTCTTAAAAATCCAAACAAAAACGGTTGTTAAATAATGTATCAAGAAACAACCGCATTCAAATAAAGACTTTGTAATTAAGTTTGCTATTCATGACGCCATTAAACATAAACTACATATAACTTATTTAAGCATCATCTGTGGCAAGCAGACTTCTGGTTTAGTATATTCTTACACTTTCTTCTGCTGAAGACAGCATACCTTCGGCTCTTTAAATTAGAGGGTATTAAATAAAAACCCGATGTGGCAGTGGCAGTGGCAGTGGCGTGTGGAGTATGCAAGCGCGACGGCCAATCAATTCTCAGAAATGAAAACGCCGTCTTCGGTGGGTATTACCGTTGCTGTTGTTCTGCTTCTGCCTCTTCTGATTCTTCTGCTAGCTTTACTCATTTCTCCGCCTTGTTGTTGGCACAATTGTGCGATGCAACACAGCCACACAGCCACATAGCCACATAGCCACATAGCCACATAGCCACATAAACAGAAAAGAATGCGAAGAAATGCAAAATGCAAACACCACGAACCACAACACAACCACTTTCCAAATGCATTCATGATGTTTACCGTTTAAATGCGCCCAGTCTACAAAGAGAGAGAGAGAGAGAGAGAGATGCAGAAAGAGAAAGAGAGCGTGGACCAGCCTCTCTAACACTTACAACAAATGAGGAGAAAAGCAGCTTCAAAGAAGAAGAAGAAGAAGCTTGGAAACCGTTGCACATTGTGTATTGGTATGTGTGCATATGAGATGGCGAGCTTGCCAATTCCGATGTGCGTGCGAACGAGATGGAGCCAACGTGCGCCAGAGGAAACGGAATTGGAATTTTTTGTTTATTGCTCAAATCAGCTTTGATCAACTTCTGTTCCCATCTTGATTAGTTGTCAACGACGGGCGAAAACTGTTTAACCGTTATGAACCGGCAGATCATCGGTTCCCAGCACCAAAAAGTTAACCAGGTAACTTATGCACCTAACTTGCCCACCTGAAAAGTTGGCTACAATATAGTACGCCCAGCATGTGCAGCTTTTGCCAAATGCTTTTGAATGGTCCTAGGTACGAAGGGTATATTGATTAGAAGGTTGGGTTAGGTCTATCTGGTTTTCGTATGCAATGTTTTTCCATTTCTGAAACAGAATGTTATTATAAGTACATACATATGTATACATACATACGTACATATATTGTGTACATTCGGATGGTACGGAAAACCTTAATCTTATCTTAGAGATTTAGAAAAAATTAATTATCCGACTCGTTATGTCATTAGGAAGGCAACAGTACGTATGAGTGATAAACTGTAATGTGAGGCAAACCGCAGACTATAAAACTTTTTTTATACTATTGCAGATTATTATTAATTCAGTTAAAAGTTTTCAATGCAATGAAGGAGAAATTTCCGACCCTATAAAGTATATGTACATATTTTTGATCAGCATGACTAAAAGAGTCGATCTAGCCAAGTTGGAAATTATCCTTCACTGCGTCGCAAACGTTTAACTGAAATTATAATAACGTCAAGAAGGGTATACCTAGTATTCTTTATTAAAGTACTTTAAGTTTATAATAAAGATTTGTGGTTTTCCATTTAATTGATAATTTAAATTTACCGTTTAATATCGCAATACCAGATTTAAGTTAAAATGATAAATAATTAAATGTAAGGCCACTTTAAAGGGTATGCAATAAGTCGGAAATTTGTTGCACCTTTTTGAAACGATCGCGTTAAAAGTTCAAGTTCAAGTGCGCCAAGTGCGGCAGCGCTGCCAGCTTTTTTGTGTAGCGCGTCTCCTCCAGGAGCTTGATCTCCTGCAGATTGGGGGGGCGGCTAAATAGATTTTATTGGATTGCTATACTTTTTTATTGGTCGACTAATTGGCAGGCGATTGTATGTCATTAGGCCGCTTGATTAGCGGCAGCAACAACAAGTTCTGTCTCTGGCTGTTGAGCTGTGCTCATTTGCGCAGCTGCCAACGCAGGTGTAAAAAGCTCAACGCGCAGTCGCAGTCGCTGTCGACGCAGGCAGAGCTTACCTGTGTATTTGTCCATTTTACTCTGCCTTAAATTTCTTCTTCTTCGCCTGCTTCTTTGCTTCTCAGCACACTAAAAAAAAAACCCGAACGAGACTAGATTAGAAACGAGATACTTTTAGGTAATATTTATTTTTACATACTATTCTTCTTTTTAGTTTATGAGTAAGCAATATTAAAGAGATATATTTAACATTTGGAAGTTTTATAAGGTCAATAGTTTTTATTAGTTTAAAAATAATCATAAAATTTTGAAATTGATTATTTACGTTTTTACATTATCTACATATCAAACGAAGATGAACTTCCATAACTTAAGCCAGCATCTGTTTGCAAAATGAATTTTATAATGTGATTATTCTCTTCTAGAGAATCTTTGAGTTATGTATCTATTGATATATTATGAATATTTTTGGATATTCTATTTTCTATTTAATATATAATAAATCAAATGTGGTCTTAAGATAATAATATTGTTTGTATTAAATAGATATGGTCTAATATGGTATGAAAAAATATCAAAAAGAACATCATATCATATTGTTTTCTGTGTGTCTCTCTGCCTCTCTCTTCTTCGTTGCTGCTTCTTCTGCTGCTGCTGTTTCTTCTGCCTCTGCTGCTGCGGCTGCGGCTGCGGCTGCTGTTCCCGACAGTTACATTACGAGGCCAAAGAAAGTATCGCCTGGCTGGCTCGCGTATTTCGCGTTCGACACTCGCCGAGTCCACACGTGCTGCTGCTCCCGGTCGTGATCCGTGATCGTGTGATCGTGTGATCCGTGATCCCCAGTGTGCTCAACACACACCAAAAACCAACCAAAAAAAATAATATATATCTATATAATAAATAAATAATACGAAAAAACATCCAAGTGCCTACGAGTGTCAGTGCATATTTTTTTGTTGTTATTGCCGCTGCTGTTACCGTTACTTGCTTAAAAGCAAGACACCGAGAAAGAGAAAGAACGAGAAGAGAGTAAAGAAGAACCTTCCAGTGAAGTGAGTGTTGCTTCCACCAAAAACAACGAGATGTTTTTTTTTTTTTTTTTTTTTTTACTGCCAATTGAATTTTAATCTGTGTGAAAAAACAGCCAGGATTCGCCAATCCAGTATCCTTTTCTTTTCTTCTGCTTTTAGTAGAGCCAATTGAATTTTGTGTTCTGTGAAATCTTAAGTCTTTGGCTTCCTAGAGTCTTGATATTTTTCTTCTTTTTTCAGTTAAGTCTATGTTCCAGGATTATTCATTCCAGCAACCTATTATTTTCTTAGCTTCCAGTAGATCCCACTAAATTAAGAATACCCAATCTTAGTTTTTCCCGTTTCTTGGTCCCTTTCTGCTGCTTCGAGTGAAGATTGTAGAATTTGAAGCCTTGTAAAACATCCAGGATTTTTCATTTTTCAGCTTTTTATTGATTTTCATCTGCTACTAGTAAATATTTGAGTTCTATGAAACATCCAGTCTCTGCCTATCCAGCATCTGCTTCCTCCGCATCTTTATACGCTTCCAGTGGAGCCGACTAACCAGCTAGACAGCAAATGCAGCCGAGCATTTCATGCTTTCTAATTTTCCCAATTAGCACAAATGCGGCTGGCTTGTTGCCTCCGCTTCTTGCGCGCACCTCTTCTACTGATTCTTCTACTGATTCTTCTTTATCTCCGCCTGCAGAGTGTCTTCTCAGCCTGGCCAGAATCGAAATCAAAATCAAAGGTGTTGCATGCACTGCATTGGCGGCTTGCTGGCACTTTCAAAAGTTTTCACCCCGTGTGGAAAATATAACAATCATACATAATAATAATCATAACAATCAGAGAGAGAGAAAGACCCACAAAAAGTAGCAACGTCATCTGCCGGATCATAATTCCCACACACACCCAACAGGTGCACTATTTATTGACCGCCGCCTGTCCCCCTGAATCACATACACCTGTCAAATGGCAACTAATCACCAATCAGTCGCCATGAGCACGGACTTCTCTTGGACTCCAAGTCGAACTCGCCGCCGATGAATCTTCTTTATTTACGTTACGTGTTAGGCGGTCCGGTTCGCTTCAGTCCGTTCTGTTCTGTTCCGATTTCACTTCTGTCCTCTCTACTCTGTACACATTTTTATACCACCATTTTTGTTGTGCCTCACTCACACATTTTAATGCATTTTGCAAACGCAGACCAGGGATTTCGCACAAGCACGGAATTATAAGGAATCCACGGCAGACGAGATAGATCACGTATCACACACAGTTGTGTCTTGACCTTCGGAAAGATTACTCCTTATCGGTAAGTTAGAAACCACTATACATATGTTGCAATTAGGTAACTCATCATATATCCTCAAATCTCTGTAATTCGCAACTTTATATTAACCCTGTTTATTATTATCACCAAGAAAACGAATTGGAAATATTAAAATAGATAAGGCAACCAAAAGGGATATTATTATGAAATTATTTTTTATATGACCTAATTATGGATACAGCTAGTAGGTTTTTAAAAGGTTATAAGCAAAGTTTCCTTTTTAGAAGCAGGATTGAATTGTTTCAAGATTTTTCCATAAATTTTTCAAGCACAATTATATAAAAATAGTAATAGTAATAGTCGCTATTCATCGAATTAAAGCCGAGGAAAGGACAAGGAACAAAACCGTTTTAAGTCCGCAACGCACCTGACTTATCGAATTATTATTATTATTATTATTAACAAGCAAGATGATGGTCGATACAAGGCAGACAGATAACGAAAACAAGTTTATTAACATACTGTTTTGACACCTTTCCTGACCACATTCCCACCATTAAGCCGCAAGTGGCAATGGCAATGCGACAGCCTTTTGGAGGGGCTCATCCTCATCCTTCTTGCAGATTAAATGTTATGACAACTTTCGTCACCGCACTTTATTCATTAGTCTGCGAACGTCTGCGAAGAACACAGAGATAAATAGAACAGATCTCGCTGGCCAACAGATTGGCCAACTGGCCGGGCCAAGAAGTGAGTGGTAGCGGTGCTAATGCATTTGATTCGTTTTGGAGCAGCGCATTAAATGCACCGTTAACTACTACGAATTCTAATTAAGCTGATGCGACAATCCAAAGCACGCCGCTGTGGCACAATAAACTCAATTCCAGGAGGCCAGATTGGCAGCAGCAAAAGCAGCAAAAGCAGCAAACCAACACGCGACTTGGCCATAAATGCAATGCCAACTTGCGGGTCTCGTTGTCGTTGTCGTTGTCGTTGTCGATGCCGCATTGGCATTGGCATTGGCATCGGCATCGGTATCGGTACATTGGTATCGCTATGGGTATCGGTATTGGGCAACGGCAACTATTTTCATGGCGGTGTCTGTTTGCGCTGTACTATCTCTTTGTTTGGCCTCAAATGATTTGCTTTAGCTATTATTTCAATAAGCGGTTTTACCCTTTTTACTCACCTAAAGATACCCCTTGGATCCACCGTAAATTCATTCATTGCCTCGAATCCGAATTTCTGGCTCATCGATGACTCATAATTTATGAGCTTCGGCCGTGATCGACCCACTAAATTCTATTCCCAGTGCTGCCGATGCCTCTCTTTCACATCCCATTCGCGGATACATCGTAGCTACAGTTGAAACAGTAGTTACAGATACAGATACAAATGCAAGATACAGATACAGATACGAAGACGTGTACAATATGCAGATGCGGATACAGATAAAGCGCCGTCGACAAGCCTTTTCTTTCACAGAATGTTAATTTGTATACTTGTATACAGCCATCATCAAAGATACTTCGGACACTGGCCAAGATTTGGATATGGAAGGAGGGGGGGATGTTCGGCGTCTGGTTGTCTAACTGTTCTTTGCCTTTCTACAAACATTCCAATAATGAAATGGAAACTTTTCGTGGCATATTTCGGGCTTTAGCGCAACTATGCCCCAACCACTCGGAGTCTGGGTAAGAAAAGTGAGAGTACTGATTGACCTAATGGGGGTCATCAAGCTAAGATCTCTTATACAAACACTTTGGGAGGTTGCTATTGAGATTGAGCCTACACTTGAACACTAAAGATGTTCCATTAATAAGTGTTGTCTTCAACAAAACAAAATATGTAAGAGTTTCACTTCAGTTCAATAAAATAGCTGTCAAAAAGATGATTAACATCTTTTGGATAAATGTATCTGAAACCAGGATTTAATTTTTGAAGCAGAAAGTTAAACCTTGTCATTAGGTTTTTTTATTTTAAACGTAATCCAAAAGCTGTTTTTTTTTAAAGAGCAGAATTGTGTTAAACTTGTTTTACTTTAGCTAAAGTACTGTTGAAGTTTTGGAGTAAAAAGGTTTAAAGGCATTTCTTACTATAGAGGAAATAAATTATAATGTATATAAGACAGCATGAATGATCTTTAAAGGTTTAGTGAATGAGTTTAATTTAGTTTTTACATTGTTCGTTAACTTTAGATACATTTGTATTTTAACTTTCGTAAAGCAGTTTTTAAGGCTTAATTAACCATAAAGGCCAGAAAGTCTTTAAAAGCCCAGAGTCTTCTTGACACCAAGAGTGGCAAATGACTCAAGGGCACATGGCATATCGAGCATCTCTTGAACACTCTGTGGGCATAAACATGCCCAATAAAGTTGTTTAGAGTCTTCTTGGCTCAACTTGGGCTGTGCATCCGATGATAAGCAGCTGTTTGGACTTGGCTTTGGCTTTGGCTTTGGCTTTGGCACTGCCTTAGAGGCCGTGGATCCCAAACAGTCGCCTCATCAGCACCCCATCTTCGTTCCCGGCCAGCATTGTTTGCACTTGACTCTGATGGGAGTCGTACTTTTGGATGCCAAAGGTGGTGGTAATGGAGGCGGAGGTGGAAGCTCCGTTGGCAGTTGCAGTTGTCATGTTGACAACAGACTGCCAAACAAAAGTTTCACTGCAAATGGGTCTCCAAGCCATGATTCCCAGGCTCTGGGCCTGGCCCAAATTTGAATAGCTGCAACTGTCGTAGGACGGAATAGGAATGGTATGGTGAATGGGGAATGGTGAATGGGGAATGGTGAATGGGGAATGGTAAATGGGGGAATGGGGAAGGGGGAAATGGAGAATAGAGTCAGGGGCCGTTTGACACGTTCTCGGTCTTTGCCAGCGCCATTTGAACATTTCCAGCTGCAGAATAGCTGTTGACAACTGCTGCAACAACTGGGAAACGATGTCATCTTTGTCTGGCTCGGCTTATGAGGCACTAAGGCACTGAGGCACTGAGGCACTGAGGCCCCCTTTCACTTCACCCCTCTCAGCATTGTGCCTCCATGAGATTTACTGGCAAATTGTTGCCTGCTAGTCGGTTGAAATTTAATGTTCTGAAGCTATTAAGTCGCGACTGAGAGCGCCCAGACTGTTCACAGCTTGTTTGAAAACTTTAAGTTCGTAATGGATCTATGCATCGCATAAATTGGCTCCAGACTTTAATTGCTGCGCCAGTTCGTACCAGTCTAATTACACCGAATAAAATTGCATTTGGCGATTGTCCGCTGAAATGCTGCTGCTTCTGCTACTGCTGCTGCTGCTGCGGCCCGAAAAAATTAAATCGCTGGCCAAAAGTGGACAAACTTGCTTAAATAAAAAAAAAAAAAATAAAAAAAAGGTGGCTAGCTTGGAGGTGGCCTGGCTGGCTCTGGTTTGCAACCAGTTTAATTAAAAGAAAGTGAACCATTTAAAAATGTATTTTGATTTCGGCTTTGCTTTTCCCATAACCATTGGCCAAAGCCAAAGCCAAAGCTAAAGCCAAAGCATCATTATCATTATATCGTGATTATTGCGCTTTTCACTGGAGCTAAGCTAGTGGTCGAACAGAAGCTAAAAATATACCTACTCGGCGGTATACACATCTCATCAAACAAGACGAAAAAAAAAACAAAAAAAAAAAAACAAAAATGCTAAAGAAAATTTATAAACAGAAATGAAGCATGGACAGGTGATTTACCGTTTGCTTTTTGCACAGACCGTTATTTGATTCGAAAGTGGTTGTAGTCGGCGCCATCGGCATCGGTATTTTCAATCATCGGGATCCAACTCAAACTCAAACTCCAAATACATTTCCACTTCCATTTCCACATGGCATTTCCATTTCCATTTCCACAAGAAAAGTGAAAACTGAAACCGTAAGCAAAGTTCGGCATTGATCGTCATTTGATGCGACAATTTCATTTCGATTTTGATTTTGATTTCGATTTCGTTTGCTTTTCTTTAGTTTGGTTTCGTTTTGATTCGATTTTCTTTCGATTTGATTCGTTCGTTTTGTATTTGACTTAATGCATAGTTAATGAGTCAATGAATGGATCGGATTTGGTTGCTCTACATAAGGTGGGGATAGAGATGGAGATAGAGATGGAGATAGAGATGGAGATAGAGAGGGCCAATCCCGCAGAGCGTGTCGAGTTAACTTCTACTTTTCCGCTCTTCCGCTCGTCGCTTCTCCCGCCGCTGCAAGTGCGGTACTGTTAATTGCAGCGTCAGAAGTGGAAGAAGCGGCAGCGGCGGCGTCATTAATTAAGCGCCACTAGAGCGTGCAACACGCGGCCGAAAGCACCGTCGCACTTTCTTTGGCTTAGTTACTGAGTTTGCTAGTTAGTCGGGGCTTGTCTGTCTCCAAGCAGATCCCAGCCATGGGAAAGGTGCTACTTTTCAGTGCCAGATATTGCCAAAAAAAAAATATAAATTCCCCAAAGAGATGTGCCTTTGAAAAATACTCTATATTATTATTATTATTATTATATTATTTCTTATGTATTTTTCGGGTGTTATCCAGACAATCCTGAAAATAAACCATTTCTTACCTTTGTTTTTTAGTTATTTAGTTAGTTAGTCATGGGATTTTTATCCGTGTTCCTGTCTTCAAATAAATCCCAACCATGGAAAAAACTTTACCAGGTACTGCCAAGAACATAGATACATCGGAGACTAATACCTTATTCCATAGACTTGGGATAATATTCACGAATTTTAGGAGACATTGTTCTATGTATATAATATTGAGGTCAACGGAATGTATTCATTTTTAACACTGTCCCAAAGAAATTCCCATAAAGATAAAATCTTGTTAGGATAATATGGAACCATTGTATCAGAATAAAAATAAAACATTTCAAAATAACATGACATATTCTTAAAAATCAATTTTCCAGGAGGTTAAATGTAATTATTATTTCAATATCAGTATATATTATTGCATATATCAGGATATATTATATAGGATATATTATATCAGGATATATTATTGCACGAGGTAGACTTAAAGACTAAACCTTTTTTACACATGTATATCGCCGGTTAAATTAATTTAGTTTTTACATTATCTCAAAGAAATATTCTTTAAAAGAAGACCTAGTAAAAATCATAGTTCATACTTGTGACAGGGAACAGTATTTTTGGGAACTATTCTTAATCAAAAACATTTCTTACCCGTTTAAATAAATATTTTGGTTATTCCTGAACATGCCTACTTAGGGTATATGGAATCAGTGAGTTAAAAGTATCAATCTTGCCCCTAAATATATACGTTAATTAATAATAATAATTAATTTAATAAAACATGGTAGCTTACAACTAAAATTGTTATTTATCTAAGAAGTTTTCAAACAATTATTATTATTTATTTCGTAAAAACTTAGTTAATTTAGTTTAACGGGCAAAATAAAAATATACAAAATAGGTGGTTATAAATGTTACCTATAGAGATAATGCTCTAAGATTTATAAAAACTATTAAAAAGTACTGTGAATAGGTGAATAGATATATATACCTATGCACCCAGATACACACATTAAATCTCTTAATTGGACGCCCACCGCTGGCGCCACCGCCACATGCAAATCGGCACCTGAGTTACAGTTAGTCTAGCCGCTGTCTGGGTCTTTGGTTTTAGGCGCTACCTACCAATTTCTTCCCCAATTCCCCAATTCTCCAAATCCGACCAGTTTTCACTCTTAGACTCTTCGTAGACGACGAAAGGCGAAAAAAAGAGCTCACAATAAAGAAAAGGGGAGAAATTAATTGGCTCCGAATTAAAGACAAATAAGCATATCGGCCGTCTACCGTTTACCGTTGGGCCATTTACGATGATACATAGAGTCGGTCGTGTCTTTTCATTTACAGTTCTGCGAGAGAATCTCCGCTGACCGCATTTTTGCGCTTGAATCGCAAAGGCTTGTCCATCATAAACACCTATGTTCATATATGTATGTATCTTTTTGTGCATTCGAATCTCAAAACTGAATCTGAATCTGAATCTGAGTCCAAGCTCGAATTCGAATTCGAATTCGCTTTGTTTCCGATTTCATTTTCACCTGCTGAAAACAGCAGCGCACCTGGGTAAAAGTGAGCATACAAATCGGACAATGAAAAGGAGGCAAGAAATGAGATTTTATTATTATTACTCTAGTCAGTGTTGTGGGCTTGACTTGACTTGACTGACTTGACTGACTTGACTGACTGACTGACTGATTGATTGATTGATTGCCGGCGTCTCTTTAATTGCTGGTCGATCGATCTGGTGAGCAGGGAAAGCGCCGCAGCAGCCAACGCACAATCGACCGGGTAAATATTTATCGGATTTATTTGGGACCGTGTGCGAAAGAATTGAACAAATTGGAAAGTTTGCAGTGAAATTTTCGGCCATTTAGCCTGAGAACTGTTTGTCTGTGCTAATCAAAAGCTATCAAAAATTAATCAGCAGGTTTCAGATTTTTACTTTTAATTTCTGCATTTAAATTACTCACTCTATCGTTATTACTATTGTTTTTCAAAGCTTACTGCGGAGCATTTAATAAGCATTAAGTTCGATTTCAAGATTTTTACAAAGAAAATAAACGTTGCAATTATTGATTTGATAGTCACAAGACAACAATTCATTTTTACCAATAAATAATTGATTATTTTTCGTTTTCTCCCTCAAAATCAAACGCCAATTATCAATAACAAATTGTTTCTGAGTAATTAAAACGTTAAAAGCTTGAACTAAAAATAAATAGTATACTTTCTTAATACACAAAATACAAGTTTAGAAGTTAGCTTGCTTTAGACTAATATTTTCAAAAATATGTAGTATAGGCTTATTTTTTGGGTTATAATACCAACATATAGATTTTTTAGCTTAAGCTTTTACCATGTCAATTTTTCCCATTAAATTGAATTTCTTTGAGTGTTAAATTTCCAAACACCTGCCATCTCATAGTTTTTGATGTCTCAATTAATTGGGCGAGTGGAGAATTTGTTTGACAGTGGGTCGCCCAACGGGCCGTGTCCGATTTTCGCCCCATGACACATGGTCAGCAGAGTCATGTCCACATCTTAGCCTCCATCTTCATCTCCCATCTCCATCTCCCATCTCCACCACCACCGTCGACATCGATCTCAGGCACCTCAATTTGCCATGTTGAAATGGCGCCCCCGGGGTTCCCGTGATCAAATGCATCGGACAGATGCAGACAGACATCGACGAGAGTGGAGTCTCGAGTGGAGTCTCGAGTGCAGGTTCCCCGGGTTCCGATTCAAATTCTGGGGTCCAAGTTCGCGTTCGCGTTCGCGAGGATCAGGTCCGGGGAAATTGGCCGCCCGGCCGTTTATTAAATTTCAATTTGTTTATGGCTTCTTTTCGTGGCCGCACATTTGCGGCCATTTCACGTGGCCGACCAATTTTCGGCCAGTCCGTTGGCCGGCGGGCGTCAGGTTAAGTGCGATCTGGCCCCGGATGCGAGCAGAGCGCTAATGACGAGCATCGACATCTTTATTACCCCGACGGGCTCGTTCGAGCAGCTCAAAAAAACCCAAAAAACCCAAAAAAAAAAACCAACAACAAAAATAAAATAAAATAACACAAGAAAGGACGCTGAATTCGGCGAGTAAAAGTTTATATACCCTTGCAGCTATTATTAAAATAAAAAAATTCCATAAAACAACTATATTTTAAAACAATGCATTTTTCAATCGTTCCTGTGGCAGCTTAATAATTTTAATCAAATTAAAAACGTAAATCTCAAATCGTGAACTATTACGAGGAATAATTGTTTAAATTTTCAATCAATGAAGTTGTAAAATTTTTTAATTTATTTTTTCGATTGTTACTATGGGAGCTTTATATTCTAACTGCAATTATGCTCCTGTTGTTGCTGATCAACTGATCAGCTATATATTTTATATTGTTGAAAATGTCTCCTGTAACAACCTTTGCAAGGGTATAAAAAACCAAAAAAAAAAAACGTACATGCCTTAACAATTGATATTTAACATATGAATTGGTCGGAGGACGACAACGATGATGATAAAGACGATGACGATGTGACCGCGCCCACTCTGTGTTCTTGTGCCGCCCCACAAAAAAAGAAATTTAGAGAATTTCCAAAAGGGTGTGAGATGCAAAGTAGAAGCTCCAGAAGAAAGGAGAAAAAGGCAAAGAATTTGGGTTAAGAATTCGGTGATAAAAGTGTCTGCTACTGGGCTGTATATTTAAGTCATGTGAAATTACTTAATGACACTTGAAGCTTTATTTACATTTTGTGTATACAATAAATTTAATTATCAAACAATAAATTTCTAATAAATTCCTTTGATTCAAAACTATTTTAAAATAAAGTTTTAAAGATATTTAAGTATTGATGCAAGCAAATAATGATAATGATTTTGAAGTGAGTTGAAACTTTGATGTAGAAGCGACAGTAAACATGCATATAATCTTAGTTTACAACTATCTTTTTAAATGCCTCCAACCATCGATTAACAAGGCAATCGATTGCAATGGGATTAGGGGATCAGTCAATCTTTCAGTGAAATTGCTGCAATTTTCGTGGCTCCGTTCACTGCGGATCACGACTTTCGCTCCTTCAACCTGTGGCCGTGATTGACCGAAACGAATTCGTGTCGAATTCAAATCGAAATCGCACTTCCTTGCTCTGGTGAACTGTCGATATAAACCCTAACCTGTTGCAATTGAAGACCCTTAAGCAATGGAATAATATATACAACGAAAAGGTCAAATAAATTGTGAAATTTTTCTCATTTTGTCCTCAGTTTATTGTACAAATTAGATCGCTTATGAGTTTGCAATTAATTGAATACATGGAATGTAATGTTGATTGGCTTGAATGGATGTAGAATAACACATGTCGGCACAGTGGAGTGAAAGCGTTTAAATTAGCTATGTTGATTGGGGAGGCCAATATCTAATTTCTACTTTCCACAATTGTGCTACAACAATTAAATGCAATTTAAATTGTGTGGAAACAAACCAGGTACTGTGCCAAACAAAACATTGTTAGATTTGTATTTTGTTTGCCATGTTCATTGCCCACTGTTTTGGCCGATGACTCAGCAGTCCAGTGAAAAACAGAAAGGAACGCTTTAGTCAAGTGCCACGACTATAAGATACCCGTTACTCAGCTAACCAATTTTAAAACTATGATACCAGAAAATAAACGAGTTTTAAAAAGTAAAGATTTTGCTAATAACTTCGTAAATAATGGATAGATTTGAAACATTTTTGTGTGTGTCTCGAAAGACATGAAAAGGTTTCCTTCTACCTGTTGCTTACTTTTCAACGAAAACAATATACCCTTTTAATCTGCGAGTAAAGGGTATATAAATAAACCAGATAAGACCCCACCGGTATTCTCCATTTTAATTGCCTGATGTGAATTCTAATACGCATACCATTGAGGTAGTCCCATAACATAAACCAAAAGAAAACCCGAACTAACTTAATGCTTTGTCTCGCCTTCTTTCAGATCCGATCGCCACGCCCACAGCGCCATCATGTGGAGCCCACAGAAAGGCCCTACACGGCTGTGGGACCTTAGGTTTAGTAGCTGTATATTTATCTTACACTTAATGGTAAGTAGGCACAACCATACTCTTAAGTCAGACAAAAATATAAGTGCAACTATATCTTATCAACTGCAATTCGACATTAATTGTAAACAAATGTTTCGATCTAAAAAAACAAAGCAATTTGAATTTGTCAAAGTGGTTAGTGATATTGCATGGTCATGAAAATCTGATTTGTTATGAAACTCAAGAGGTTTCCTTATTGTACTTTTACTAAAAACTATCACAATAAGAAAAACACAAGTTAAGAAAAAGATAATTTCTAGGATTGTATAATTAATTGATATCTAGAAAGTTTTAATTACAATGAAAAAATTCTTATAAAAACTTTTAAAGTTTAGCAACAATTCAATGAACTATGAGATGAATTATTTTAAAGGAATTTAAAGTGATATCTTGATTGTACTTTTGTTAAATACTATAACAAAACTGAGAGAAATATATATTGATAAATTTCCTTCAATATATCTCCAAATTCTTATAAAAACGATATTGTTTAGAAACAACCTAAGTAATTACAATTACAAGGCAAATAATTTAATACATATATAAATAATTTGTTGGATTATCAGAATTTTTATAAAAACTTTGTTGTTTGGTTACATTTTAATAATTTACTAGATCATATCCCAATAGTACCCCCACTTGAAAGATTTTTCTTTTTGTAGACACTCATCAAATACGTATAATATTATAATTTGGTAGAAAAGGTGGCGTTAAAACTACGAATACAGTCAGAAACTGGGCATCTAGATGGTCTCGCCGATGGGCTTAATGATCAGCTCGTGGATCTGGACATTTGGTGGGGTTTGGATGCAGTAGCTGACGGCATCGGCCACATCCTCGGATCGCAGCATGGGCAGGTCGGGGAAATGGACGAGGGCCTCCTTGTCGACGATCTCGGTGTCCACGGCGCCGGGACTGATGCTCTGCAAATGGGAATTGTTAATGGGAATTGTTAATGGGCCATCCTAAAAAGAGAGGCGATTAATCAGTGTCCCATTACCGTGATCTTGGTCTTTGTCTTGCTGTTCTGGAACTCCTGGCGCAGGACCTCGGTGAGAGCGGTGATGGCATGCTTGGATGGTGAGTACATGCCCATGGTGAAGCCGGGAATGTTGGGCACCCGATGTCCGGCCACACTGTTCACGATCAGCACATGACCGTCGTCGACATTGCGCTTTTGCAGCGACTTGAAGGCCTCACGGGTGCACCACGAAACGCCCAGGACATTGGTGTCCAAAATGGCACGCAGATCCGCCGCATTGCCCTCCTTGGTGATGCCCACGCCGGCACGAACGATGCCCGCGTTATTGACCAGGACATCGGCTCCGCCCAGTGTGGCATCGATCCAGGCGAAGGTGTCGATCACCTCCTGCTCCTGGCTCACATCGCACTTGCGGCCGTGGAAGCGACCGACCTGATCCGCCGGCAGTGATGCCTTCAACTGGCTGAGTCGTTCCTCGCGACGTGCCAGACCCACGACGACCAGGCCCTTGGCCACCAAATCCTTGCAGCAGGCAGCTCCGATTCCCGAGCTGGCTCCCGTGACGACGGCAACGCGATTCAGCCAACGATCCATAGTTGTTTTTGATTTTGTTTTTATTTTTCGCGTTGAAAAATGGGTCGACTGGTGTGCGATGGCGCGATCTGATCTACAATTGCTTTTTTTTCTGCCGACCCACTTGCATTTATAGGTCCCCCAACCAAAATACCGACCTGTTCTGAACCGATTTAGATTCGTATTCGGATTCGGATTCGGATTCCGATTGCGAATACTCTATTTCACCACACGACTCGGTCGATGAGAAACAACGTTCTCGGCAGCCGGCATTCTGGAGTGTATAGTAGTAGCGTAACCGTGACTCGGCACAAAGCTTTCCCATTTGATCACTTCATTCTAGAATATTATTAAACGTACACTGGTAAAAAAAAAAAACATAGTTAACCCTACTGCTTTATACTTAAAAACAATTGCTTGTTTTGATTTTAATCCATTGCAGTTTTTAGCTATTTTATTTTAAATATGCAAATATAAAAATGTTTTTTTCTGTATAAATTTAAATATATAAAAATGTAATTTTAAAGTGAAACTTTATTTAACTTAAGTAAAATGCTGTTAAATTTTAAATCGAATATTTTTCCCATTAATTTATATACTTTATATTTTAATCATGCTATTTAGTATGCACTTCATAAACATTATTTAATATGAAATTTACAACTTGGCATTCAATAGCCAGATATTTATTTTTACCATTCAATTTTTTTGTATCAGTGTAGTGTCGCAGCTGCGATAAACATTTTCATGACAATGGGAATGGGCATGAGTGGGAATTCATTGTGGGTCAGCACATTTGTTTGGGGGCTTCTAAACATTCACCAAGTAAAAGATTGTGACGCGGACAGGCAAATTTTCTCATATTATAATAAGTAAATATTTATATTTTTAGTTGTTTAAATTGATTTTAAACGCTATACCTTCACATGTTTGTTTTGCCGATTAGATAGACATTATAGCAAGTAAATAAACCAGTTTTTAGACCAAACAAAAACATTCGAATGTGATCAAGCTTAAAACGAAACTAACAGCTAGTTATAGATAATTTTGATATTGACTTGTTTCGGTGTAAGTTTTCCAATTAAAGAAATGTGATTAAGACTAAGACATATCTTTAACCGATTTCTGTGTATATATAATTTATAATTATAATATTGTTTACCAAAAATGAAAAATCTCATCGACATAAATCAAAAAGTGAATAAAAAGATACACATTACTTATGGACCAATATAACGTATACGTAGTGTGGTCGAACTTGCATGAACATTTTGGGAAAAATCAAGAAGTTTTCGCCTATTGACTCAGCAATTATCGCTCACACGTAGATTTGCAATACATGCAATGAATTTTTTGTTATATATAAGTTATATTTTATATAATTATTTATAATACCAAGAAAAAGATGATGAAAATCGTTTAAATAATTTGTAATTAGCAAATACTATTAGATGTTTGACAAGCACATGCTTGATCAAGATGTAAAACAATTACAATTTATCTGCATAAACTAATTTATTCAGTAAGCTAACTGGAAGATCTGGCTTCGATCCATTCGCTTCTTGATTTCCATTCTCGTCTGTTGCGACGACGCCAGACAATGTGGCACCAACAGGTCGGATACTGGATACTGGATACTGGATACTGGATGCTGGATACTGGCTACTATATATACATATAGAGTATACTATGCTATATCCACTTGGGCAGGTGGCTCGTCCAGTTGGGCAACTTTTACTGCGGGGGTTGCGGGTCGGTATGGGGGAAAATGCAAATTCCTTTTGGGGGAAGGGTGGGAAGGGGGGGGAAGGGGGGTGGTACAGAAAACCCAATCAGACTCCCCTCAATTTGAACAGAACCAAACCGAACCGAACCGAACCGAACCGAACCGAAGCTTGATCTATGCGGCATGTGGCAAGGCAGTTTGGGGCAGGTATCGGTATGCAAATATGCAAATGTCAGGTGCAAACAAGCGCCCCAACTCCCCAACTCCCCAACTTGGCCTCCCGATCCGAATGCCTCCCTTTGGAGCAGATACCAGTTGCTCCCAAGCAAACGGATGCAGGCCAAGTGGAATTCGCTTTCCCATTTCGATTGGCCTTCATTGGCCATCGGATTGGGGGGACCATAGACCCCGAAGACTGGAGACTGGAGACTGAAGACTGGAGACTGAAGACCACGAAGACTGGAGAGACTGGAGAGACTGGATTGCCGTTTCGTTTTTATTGGTAACACGTTTGTCAGGTGCCAGGTGCAAGGTGCCAGGTGCCAGTGGAACCGTTAGGAGCCCACCCACATGGCTGGCCATTGATTTTCAGGATGGGTCTGGGATGGAAGAGATCGAGATCGAGATACTATTGCTTATGAAACCCCTTAGTACAATCATCAAAGCCACAAATGAAATCTTCCAATAGTTGTATTACTTATTTTTGATTTAAAGCCGTAGTTATTTTTTTTATATATACTTACATAAATGTTAATTTTTTTTTGTAATGATAAGTGAAGTTATCTTTTAGTCAATCGACCGCTTAGATTTGAAGTAAATCCAAGATGCGACTTTATGCGAAAACACACAAAAAGAGCAACGAAGCTTAAACGTACATGCATTTTTCACCAGGTTGCCAATCTAGATCGAAATTAGGAAATATAGATTCACAATTATATTTTTTGGATAGAAAACTTATAAAACGGTTCAATACTTAAAGAAATAGTTATTCAATTTACTGGCATTACCTAATTGCCCAACTCTTAATCTATTCCAATTGCAGTTTAGTTTAGTCATAGCTGGTAATGAACTGTGGCCCATGGAGCGGCCAGACGGAATGCCGAATATCGTTTCGCTGGAGGTGATGTGCGGCAAGGATCACATGGATGTCCACCTCACCTTTTCGCATCCCTTCGAGGGCATTGTCAGCTCCAAAGGTGGGCCATCATCTTTCGTTGCGTATATTTGTTATGTAAATCCAGTTGTAATTAATGTGTTCTTATTACCACTCAAGGACAACACAGCGATCCGCGCTGCGTTTACGTGCCGCCCTCGACGGGCAAAACGTTCTTCTCCTTCCGCATCTCGTACTCCCGATGCGGCACCAAGCCGGATCTCAACGGACAGTTCTACGAGAATACGGTGAGTCACGGCTGGCTACCTCTATGGACTGACTATGCACCATGCGAAGATTGTGTGTCATTCAATCCGATGTCTTTAACAGGTGGTGGTGCAGTATGACAAGGATCTGCTGGAAGTTTGGGACGAGGCGAAACGACTGCGCTGCGAGTGGTTTAATGACTACGAGAAGACCGCCTCCAAGCCGCCGATGGTGATTGCCGATCTCGATGTTATTCAGCTCGATTTCCGAGGTAATTGCTCATTTAACTAACCGAGATTAGAGGATATGTTAATCGGTTGTTGTTGTTGCTATCTCACAGGTGACAACGTTGACTGTTGGATGGAGATTCAGCATGGCAAGGGTCCTTGGGCGCCACCGGTAAGTGGTATTGTACCACTTGGATCCACTTTGACCCTTGTGGTGGCCATCAACGATTATAGAGGTGAGTTTCGGTGTCTTTTCAGATCTCTGTAGAGCTCTCTACATCTCTTTAGATCTTCTTTGATCTCCTTAGATCTTTTTTTTTAGATATTTATGGATCTTCATAGATCTTCTTAGATCTCCTTAGATCTTTATTAAACCTTTTTAGATCTTCTGAGATCTTCTTAGGTCTCTATAGATTTCCTTAGATCTCTTTAGATCTTTTTAGATCTCCATAGATGTCCTTAAATCTTCTTAAATCTCTTTAGATTCTTTAGTTCTGCTTAGATTTTTTTAGATCTCCTTGAATCTACTTTGACATCCTTAGATCTTCTTAGATTATCTTGGATTTTTTGGATCTCCATAGATTTCCTTAGATCAACTTAGATCTCCCTAGATCTTCTGAGATCGCCTTAGATCTCTTAAGATATCTTTAGATATTTTCTATCAGTGTGAGTAAACTAAGTAGCCCCAAATGTCGATGAATATGTCTGAAACGCTGTTCATCCTGTGCGTGTATCGGCAGAGCGTTGGCAGAGCGCTCCAATGCCCACAAGATAGACCATACCAATATCTAATCACTCCCCCATTGCCATTCCAGGTGAGTTCGACATGCGTGTAAAGTCCTGCGTGGCCTCCGATGGATCTGGCCATGTGATCAATCTGTCGGATGAATTTGGCTGCGTGCTGCGACCCAAGATGATCTCACGCTTCCTGAAGGCCCGTGCTCCCGACGAGAGGGCCACCGTGATCACCTACGCCTTCTTCCACGCCTTCAAGTTCCCCGACGCGCTGAGTGTGCACATCAAGTGCAAGGTGGAGATCTGTCGCCATGGCTGCCTCGATCACTGCCAGAATACGGGCGTGGGCGGAGGAGGAGGCGCATCCGGAGAGTCGCTGGGTCTGGGCCTCGGACTGGGTCTGACCAATGCCAACGAGCGCAAGGATGTGCACATGTCGGATGCGATGGGCAGCAGCAGCAGCAACGATCTGCTCAGAGATCTGTCCCTGCCACCAGGCGGTGGACAGCATGGCATGGGCATGGGTATGGGTATGGGCATGGGTCCGGATCACGACATCTTCTATGAGGACATTATCCACGATCACAAGCAGACGCTCAACGGAGGCGGCGGCGGCGGCGGTGGCGGAGTATCTCCAAATGGCGGTGACTATGGCCACGAGAAGAGTGTGCACCTCAAGCCGCGGCCGGTGCACGAAGAGCAGGAGGAGGCCGATCTCTCCGATCTGTTTGGCGACGAGGACTTGGCCGATTTGGACATGGAGGGCGGCGAGGGCGAGCGGTATTTGGGCCTAAAGAAGAGTGGCAAATTTCCACATGGTCCGCGGCAATTGGAGGCCCAAAAGCGCATGGGTGTACCGATGGCGGGTCCACGCTCCCTGGAGCCCCGCACGAACGAGGATGAGGATGTGCCGCGACCCGTGTACAGGCCACAGGCGGAGGCTTTGAAGAAGCCACGCGAAGATCACATCGATTTCGACAAGGAAGAGGAGAAGGAGACGGAGACGGAGAAGGTAAAGGAAAAGGAACACGAAAAGGCTGAGGAGCAGGGGAAAAAGGAAGAGGAGAATCAGGCTGGAAAAGGAGATGGAGAAGGTAGCTCCTCGAAGAGCCGTCGCCGTAGATCCCTGGTCATATCCGATCGCAAGGTACGCAGTGCCGACGTGGGCGTCAGCGGTCTGTACGATGTCATATCCGAGGCGGATCTGGCCTTCTCACCGGACTCCAAACAGGAGGCGGTCACCGTCTTCCAGGGCAAAATCAGCGAGGAGGTGGTCTATGGCATTTGCATGCCGGTGCCCGGCTTCAGCATCCTCTTCATCGTTGTAATCTCGGCGACAATTGTGTCCGCCCTGGTGGCCGGCTCCCTGCTCTACCGCTATCAGCTGCAAAAGGAGGCGCTGGACAAGCAGACGCCGTTGCCGGTGACCGGGACACTGGCCTCCTGGATGACCCTGCGACTCTTCCGCCTGCGACACATGCAACAGCAACAGCAGCAGCAACAACAGCAGCAACAGCAACAGCAAGTGAGGCAGCCGACTTCAGGACACGAAACGGTTCAGTGATCAGTAATCAGCGATCAGCGATTAGTGATCAGTAATTATGATCAAAATCGAGTAGCGAAATCGGAATCGACATCGAAATGGACATCGAAATCAAAATCGAAATGGAAATTAAAATCAAATCACGTTGCCCACGTCTATATGCCTTCCATTATTATTTTTTTATTACGATTATTGTTTTTTTTTTTTTTTGTAATCGGGTTGTTTGTTCAGGATCCAGACAAAGAGATATGGCGCAGATATCAGATATCAGAGATCGGGCAACAATGCAATACTCGAACTGCTCGTTTCGGTGCTGAACGTTCTACAATATTTTTTTTTTTGTGTTTTGTTTTTTGGGTGCATTTAGTCGTAAAATTGCATAGAGAAAATAATAGAAAAGGTTAAAGGAAAAGGAAAAGGAAACGTAAAAGTAAAAGTAAACAAAGAGAGAGATACACAAATACAATGAAGACTCCGGACAGGTGCTCCAGATTTAAGGAGTTTGGATGTCATATCGCATCCGTTAGGCGTAAGGGAACTTATTTATTTATATTTATATTTATATATATCTATTAACTATACGTACGAGATTTAGCTGTAAGCCGAGCGGTATGGAAATTTTAAATGTAATATTTTTTCGGCACTTGTTTTGTTTTTTTTTCTGTGTTCTTTTCGGCATCCAAAACTTATTTAGGGACAAATTTAGTTAAATTCTATAGCTTATTGAATCGCTTAGAAAATTGTCATGCTCACACATACAAACACAGACTTACTCACGCACACATTAAAACTGATAACCATTTTCCATTAAAAAAAATCAAGAAAAGCTAAATGCAATTTCTTGCATGCATATTACAATTTAAGTGCAAATTTTGTAACTGAAAAATTGACAATTGAATAAAATCTAGTTAAGTTGAAAATATTAAAGTCTGCTTGTTCTTATTTATTGTGTTCAGCATTACCTGCAGGAACCCGATTTGAAAGCTGTTTTGCCTAAAACTTTACATTTTAATTGAAAAACTACATATCTTAGCCCTTATGAAACTTATTTTAAGCAACCAACTTCTCAAAGACAAAACACTGTTATACACCTTCCATAGTATAAGTTTAGAAAATTTGTCTACTTTTTCGAAAATTTAGAATAAGGGTTACATCATAAAATGTACAAAAAATCGAAACGAAACTGCAAACCAAGATTTAAAAGGAGATTTTTAGAAACTAAAGCCACAAGATTTAAAAGATATGCCACATTTCAAAAATTTAGAAAGGGGTTACATCATAAAAATGACGAAAATTCGAAACGAAACAACAAACCAAAATTTAAATGCAGATTTTTAGAGGCTTTCGCCACAAGATATAAATGATATGCCACATCGAAAACGGATTATTGTAAGAAAAGTTATGGTACTGTTTCTGAAAAGTCATTTTTCAAAAATTAAGAAAGGGGTTACATCATAAAAATGACGAAAATTCGAAACGAAACAACAAACCAAAATTTAAATGCAGATTTTTAGAGGCTTTCGCCACAAGATATAAATGATATGCCACATCGAAAACGGATTATTGTAAGAAAAGTTATGGTACTGTTTCTGAAAAGTCATTTTTCAAAAATTTAGAAAGGGGTTACATCATAAAAATGACGAAAATTCGAAACGAAACAACAAACCAAAATTTAAATGCAGATTTTTGGAGGCTTTCGCCACAAGGTTTTAGAGATATGCCACATCGAAATCGGATCTGTATAAGAAAAGTTATGGACTTAAGATTGCAGGTTTTTGGTACTCTTTCTGCAAAGTCATTTTTCAAAAATTTAGAAAGGGGTTACATCATAAAAATGACGAAAATTCGAAACGAAACAACAAACCAAAATTTAAATGCAGATTTTTGGAGGCTTTCGCCACAAGGTTTTAGAGATATGCCACATCGAAATCGGATCTGTATAAGAAAAGTTATGGACTTAAGATTGCAGGTTTTTGGTACTCTTTCTGCAAAGTCATTTTTCAAAAATTTAGAAAGGGGTTACATCATAAAAATGCCGAAAATTCGAAACGAAACAACAAACCAAAATTTAAATGCAGATTTTTAGAGGCTTTCGCCACAAGATATAAATGATATGCCACATCGAAATCGGATTATTGTAAGAAAAGTTATGGACTTAAGATTGCAGGTTTTTGGCACCTTTTTTTCCAAAGCCATTTTTCAAAAATTTAGAAAGGGGTTACATAATAAAAATGACGAAAATTCGAAACGAAACTACGAACCAAAATTTATCTTTCTATTGCATGTATAATAGAAGTCGGAACGAGCCTTTATTGTTTACTATTTTTTTTTTCTGTTACTTATATGTAGCTAGTTTCTTCTTCTAAATTCGTGGATTCAGTAATGGAACCATTTCAGCAGACTATTGCCAGCGATTCCAGGATACTCACATATTTAAAACGACACCAACCACACCATTCTCATAAATGAAAATAAACAAACGAGATTTTGAGGGATTCTAAACAATTTATTGAACACTTTCTCTTCTCACTCGCTTTGCTCGGCTTATAAAAGTAGACAAAAAAAATGGAAGATATGTATATATAAGGCGGTATATATGTGGGTATGTATGCGATATGTATAAATCATTATGCAAATAAATAAGTGGACTACTAGGCGTACTAACTGATATAAGTAGAATCAGGGATTTGGGGGAATGGCTGACAGTGGGACGCAAAAGTATTCGGCTTAGTCTACGGCTTACAGCGCTTAAAATATTTAGTGACTAATTCAAGTGTATATTTGTTATGCATGTGTTATGTGTGTGTTTATATGTTTTATGTGTGTCTATTTTGTGAGTGTGTGTGCTTGTGTGTGTATTCGTGTCTACAAAGTCTTAAGAGATTCTTACGAGAAATACTCTAAGTAATAGAATATATCGGCTCGAATGCTGAAGAAAGCTACAAGTGATGGTCAGATGGATATGATGGGCTGATCATGGCTTAGCACCGTTTTACATGAAATAGAACCTAGGCTTAAACTAAAACAAAAATAATCGATTATCGACTGCCACCACGGAGAGAAAGGAGTGGAAAATAGGAAAGATAGGAAAGAGAGGACCTTAAAAAGGATTCGAGGATATCGAGGTTGGAAAAACGGAAAAGGAAAGGGAAGAGGAACAGAAAAAGGAAAAGGAAGACGAAGAGGAAGAGGAAGAGGAAAACCCAGTTAACGGCTTGAGTTAATGTTAAATGATTTGTATCAAAAATTATTCTAACGAAGTGTACGCTACAAATTTAAGAGCCGCAGACGCAGACACAACTGTACCTAGAACCGGAAACGGAAGCGCAGACGAAATGAGGCAGCTAGTAATGGCACTAATGATAGTTACTTTTGGGAATCAGTGTCTGGAGCTAGTGATTGCAGTTGGCAAATCTTTGATTAACAGTCTCGATAAGTATCGAAATACTCAAAAGCACAAAGCATTTATTTTGAATTAAAATTTTCTCAGCAGAAACTAGTCTTCAAAAATCTTTTCTAATAACATGTTGGTAAAAAAAAATTCTTTAGCAGCTATCTTCTTGAAAATTGAAAGCGTTGTTAGGGTTTTCTATGAACACACCTGGCACAGAGCAATGTTAACACTAAAAATTGTTAAACCTATCAGAATTTTTGATTTTAAAAAATCTTTCATAAAAGATTTAACGAACCAAAATTAAAAAAAAAGAACTATTCACTGTTTTGGACTTATTTCAGGTCACTCTCAAAATATTTAAAATCATTTTGAAAATTATATGATATTAAACATGATTTTAATAGCAATTTTTGTTATATAAAAAATCGATTTTTACTTGTTTCAAAATATGATTTCATTTTAAATATGTTAAATTTTAAATTATACTCAAAATTCGATTTAATTAATATTTATTATGAAGAAGATTTTTTTATATCTGAAATTGATCTAAGAGTTGCTTTGTTTATAATTTTAAAATCCTGAATAATATACAGATTTTAAATAGATATTTTGTGAACCAATTGTTAATATTTAACTTAATCGATTTTATTTCGATTCGAAATTTGATTTGATGTTCAGTTTTGAAATTCTTTAAAGCTAATATTAAACATGTATTTCATTTTATAGTTATTATTTAATCAAATCGATTTGAGCTTGATGTGAAAGTTGCTTTGTTTTAAGTTTAAAGCGAATCTTTAGCTTGGATATAACTAAACCTGTTACTTGCTTTGTGCCCGTGCCCCAAAATGGAAAACTGACCGAAAACCGAAACCCAAACCTCAAGGAGCTGATCCCAGCTAGCAGTAGTGCCAGTGCCTGGCCACCGGTATCTGGCCACCGTCCGCGGAACCGGATGGTGCAGTCGCACAGTCGGGGGCGTGCTCACGACATCGCCCGCTTCTTGGAGAGCGTGCCCTGCAAGTCCGCCGGCGAGGGCAGCTGGATGACTGGAAGCGGTGCCAGCTGGGGATTCGTGAAGGCGACGGCCCGCTCCTTGGCGCTGGCGGCGGCTGCAAACGAGGCGAACGGACGCAGGCGAACGTAGAGGATGGCTGAGGTGAGGCAGGAGGTGACCAGTATGCCCAACAGCACGATGAGCGTAATGGCAAAGCCGGGCGTGGTCATGCAAATGAGACCCTCCTCGCGCAGCGGAAAGACCATTGTGGAGCCGATGGCGCTGCTCCCGTTGCCCGTTGCCTGCTCGTCGATGGCGAAGGTCAGATCACCGGAGGAGACCACCTTGATGATCCGATTGAGGCCAACCTGCGGCTCGGCGGCGGCCACCGCACGTGCCCGTCGCTGGACGCGTCGCTCATCCCGCCGCTTGCCAATGGCACTGGCCACATGGTACGCGTCCACATGAAGTTGCGGCGGCGGCGGTCCATACTGCGATTCGGGGCCCACCTGCAGATGATGCACATCCTGCAGGTTCGTCTCCGACGAGCATTGCTCCGGACAGTGGTAGCGACAGATCTGGATGGTGCACTGGAAGTGCACCTCCATCGAATCGGGGAACTTGAAGGCCTGGAAGTGGGCGTACGACAGCACCGACGCGGAGGCCCCGAAATTCTTGATCTTGGTGAAGCGGGACATCAGCTTGGGCCGGGTGACACAGCCCCGTTGGTCCACCAACTGGATGGGCGCCCGTTTGCCGTCGTGGGCCACACAATTGCGCACCAGCATATCGAACTTGGAGTCATCGTCCTTGATGGCCAGCACCATGGTCATCGTTTGGCCAATCTTCACCAGACCCGATACCTCGGATGCCCACGGACCCTTGCCCACCTGGATTTGCATCCAACAGCCGACATTGTCGCCGGCGAAATCCGCCCGCACCACATCCAACATATCCACCGGGAACGGCCGGAACGTGACGCTCTTCTCGTACTGATCGTGCCACGTGCATCGCAGCTTGCGTGCCTGATCCCACACCTCCTGCACCTGCGGATCGTACTGGATGACGATGATGTTCTCGAAATAGGTGCCTGCGCCCGCTCCTGCACCCGCACCCGCGCCCGTACCCTCGTGGCCATAGCCCTGGCCATAGTTGTCCGTATTGCCAGCGGTGCCGCACTCGTGCAGTCCAATGTCGAAGCTGGCCGAGCTGCGGCCCAATCCCGACGGCAAGTGGACACAGTTCATGTTGCTGTAGTGACCCTTGGAGAAGACGATGCCGTTGAAGGGCTTGTCGAATTGCACGAACACCTTCATGCCGTTCTTCTCGCACTTCACGTCCAGCGACACGATCTTGGGCATGTCCTGGACGGGTGCCGCCCAGATCTCGTTGTTGCTGGATCCGCCCACGCTCAGGTCGGGCACTTGCACCTGCACCTGCTGCTGCTGTTGACTCTGCTGCTGCTGTTGTTGCTGTTGCTGATGTTGATGCTGCTGCTGATGCAACTGCATCTGAGGCGGTGGCTGCGGTCGCTGCTGCAGTTGCGGCGGTGGAGGTCCCTTGTAGAACTGGGCACCCGGCGGCGGAGGAGGTCCAAAGGGCTGGCCAAAGCTCAGCGGGATGTTCTGGTGGTTGTCTGGGGGGTGGGAAAGAGCACATCACAATGGATTAAGGGGTAAGCGGTAGCAAAGGAGATCATTAACATTTTTTTTTAGAACTTTAATCATATTCGTATTCATATTCATATATTCATATTCATCCATTGCGGTTTCTATTCATTTTAAATATGGATATATAAAATGTATTTTTTTTTTTTTTTATTTCATTTGACTATCTGCGGAATAGATTTTAACCTCTAAACTTTCCATTTAAATGCATTGTATTGTATTGTATTAATATTATTATTTTAAATTTAATTTAAATATGATATATGAAATGGCATTTTAATTTTATTGAAATCGGACAACGATATCATAAATCTGTCATAACAACGATCAACAAAATTCTGTGATAAATTCCTATAGCTTCATGGCTTTTATATACACCCAAAGAAAAAGTGAAATTAGGTTTAAATAAATTAAATAACTATTACCTCATGTCTTTATATACACCAAAGAAAAAACTGAAAATTATGTTTTAATAAGTGTGTCTTAGAAATAATCTACAGACAGTATTAATTCAATATTTCAGTTAGTTTCATTTGTATACCGAAGAGTTATCTAAGGCCTTGTTTTTAAACCACATTTAATACTTTGATTTTGATACTTTCGTGGCATTAATTTATTACTCATCTATTGGGAAATTTTCTCATAGTTTAGTTCATGTGACAATTTTCTTTTGGCTGTAGTATGGAATCTAATGGAATCCCTTATTATACAGTTTGGGGATAAGTCCCCGTACTCACTGCGCATGGTGAGTGCCACATTGGGCGGCGGCTGTGGCATGTTGTGTTGGTAGTGCACCTGCACCTTGGGCACCGACTGCGGCAACTGCATCTGGATCTGCGGCAGCTGCTGCTGCTGTTGCTGCTGTTGCTGTTGCTGCTGCTGAAGTTGCTGCTGCTGCTGCTGCTGCTGCGCCTGAGCCTGCTGCTCCTGCTCCGACTCCTGGGCCATTTGGTCCAGCTCGTTCTCGTGGTCGCCAAGGGCGATGGTCAGGTCGTCATCCGGTCCGCCGGCAATGGCCTTCACCACCTCTACATCGTCGGCGCTGACGAGGGCGACCTGTGGTCCCATTTTTAAACAGGGAATCGTAACGAAACGAGACGAGACGAGAAGATGAATAGAATGACTTTAGTTTGGATTGGGAATGGGATTTGCGGATTGTGGATTGTGGATTGGGAATGCCAAGTGGAATGGGCGCAGTGGCAAATAACAAGTGGCAGTGTCTGCAAGGCGGATGCGGCATGCAACTGCATGCAATTGCATAAGGCAGCAAAAAGCCACTGTCTGCGAAAAGAAACGAAAAGAAAGAGGAACCGGAGAAAAGGCCGCAACAATTTCGCTTTTTTTTTCCAACCAGCCAGCAACTCTTTTCATTTCAGTTTGTGGCACATGCAACGCGCCATGGCGACCCAATTGCCAGGGAGATCCGCCTGGCTTAAAAGGCGATGTCAAGGCTAGAACCAGACCAGACGACAACACAAACAAAACACCAAAGACGGAAGACCGAAGACGGAAGACTAAAGACACAAGACAGAAGACTGAAGACCAAGACACCAGACATTGGCCAAGATCAAGACCAAGACCAAGACCCAGATTGAGATCGCGATCGACGTCGAGACGGAGTCGCCTGGTTGGGAGATAATGTATACTCGATAATAGCTGGCTCACAGATAAGATACTATGTAGATAAATTCGTTGCCGGATGAGTGGGAAGAAACATCGCCTCACATGTTTTTCTAATCATTTTAATAAACAATTGTTAGGAAAAAGAATCATTCACAAAAAATTACCAACACATACTCAGTCTGTTTACAAATCCATTTGAGAAGATAAGAAATTTCTAAAATATTATATATCTTGGTAATACATTAGGTATTCTTCAGAACTATATAGAAGCCCTTTTTTCTTTTAGATATATTCGTTCTATTAATATTTTAAGATATTATTGCTAAAAGATAACTACTTAATGGGTTCTTGAAACAGCTATAAAACAAACAAATCAATTAAGCACAAAAGCGTAAAAACTTGGAACCAATATTATTCGTGAATAAATATGCTTAAAAATTTTAATTTTTAAAAATTTAGAGAGGTCAAATAATGAGTCAAAATCAATAATGATAGAAAATAAAACAATGTCAATTTTGTGAGTGCAATTCTTAATAAGCTTTCATCTTGTTAGGCGTTTTAAATGCAAATGATTCGTCTTTATAATTTAATTTGTAATTTAATTTTTGTTTTGCTTTTAAAACACTTTGAGTACTGTATACATTATGATTTGATTTTTATATGTTCAATTATACAGATACTTTTATATGTATAATCTCCATACTTTCTAATCAAGATTCAGATGTCCCATCCCGTAAATCCCGAGTGTCATCTACCCAACAGTGATATCTGGCTAATAAACTTAATTAATTTCCCATTACTTTCTTTTCACGTCCTTCACTTGGTGTGTTGTGGTGTGCTGTTGGTGTGTTGTGTTGTGGTGTGTTGTGGTGTGCTGTTGGTGTGGTGTTGGCCATGTTCCGGGTGACCAGGTCTTAATTTTGCTTGGCCATTCAGGAACATCTTGATCCGCAGCCATGTACTTGTCGCTGCACTGATTCAGTTACCAACTTGCCAAGAGCCATCGGGGCAATTAGACGATTGCTCCAATGGGCGGACGAAGTGGGGGGAGTGGCACTGCAACTGCCACTGCCACTGCCACTAGAGCAATTGCGGACAGGTGGCGGATGATGGCCATGGCCATGGCCATGGCGTTCATGACCAAGATACCCAATGATGAAAATGCCCAGCGAAGATGGCGAGGCTGCATCCCATTTGGCCAAATCTGTGCCGCACCGCCGAAAACAACTTTCTCCGCCAACTGGGAAGCTGAGAAAATACACTAAAGACAAACTGAGAAAACTGAGAAGCTGAGAAAACTGAGAAAACTGAGAAAACTGAGCATCTGAGTGTCTCAGTATTTTGGTATAGTCTTTGGGATGGGATGTCGCAACGGCTGCAACGGCGGCAACGGTGGCAACGGCGGCATCCTGAAGCAATCCTGTTTGGTAGAAAGTGATGTGGCAAGCGCGGCAGACGATTGACGACAAAAAGGTAAGCTAAAATACTAAAATGGTAAATGATGGCTGGCGGATAGCGGATGGCGGATGCTGATGGTTGGTCTGCCATCAAACGAGTTGCCCACGAATCCGAAAACCCACTGGTGAAAAATTCTATAATCAAATTTGCATGCGGGAACGTGATTTGGAGCGACTGCAGAAGCAAGCCATGAATACCAAAAAAGAAAAAAAATAGATATAGTTAAATACCAGCAATTCACACAGACAGAAAAAATATCACATTCTATTTTGTAAAAAAAATATAGGCAAAAAAAGTGAAAAGTATTAAAAATGGAAGAACATAACTGACATAAATTTAATTCAGCGATAATAGTATTTTATTTTCCAGCGAAATAATATCGCTCACAAAATAGTTAATATTTCTGATCCATATTTTTTGTATTTTATTCGCCTATTATTTTCAGATAGGTTTTATGAAACTCAATAATATTTGCATTATCAATTAAACCTTTAATAAAGTATTTAAATAGCAACCTAATGGCTTAATTATGTTTTAAATATTTTTGCAAAAATATGACACCTGAGATTTTATCTTTCATAAGTTCAGTAAATAAAATAGTTTGAATGTGGTTTCTTCACATACTTTAATTCTTATCAATTGTATGGCCATTGGAAATATTTGTTAGTTCGGTAAACCCGTTTATCACGCAGTTTGCATGTGCTAATTTAGCTTCGTACCGCTCAAAGACATCTGAAATTCGACCAGTTCCGGTTCCCAACTCATATCCGACTTCAGGCAGAAGAAACTAATCATCGCTTTACTGCTTTACTAATCAGCCAGTCGATGTCGTGGGTTCCTGGCCTACTCCCCCCACCCCCCACCCCCTTTCTCCATTTCCCCATTTCCCTGCCCTCTGCGATTTCCGTAATCCCCAGCAGAGACTACTAACGATGTGTCTAAAAACGGCAGGCCGAAGACTGAAGACTGAAGACTAAAGACTGAAGACTAAAGACTGAAGACGGAACCCAAAAAGATGAAGACGAGGCCGGCTGTTGTTGGCAATCTTGACCTCGACCAATGTGCTAGGCACCTTTTTTGGGAAGAGGCTGTCTGCCTGGCAGCGCACCAAATCGGGAGAAAGTGAAACATTAGCAGAGAATCGGAATTTGGCAGCCACTTGGCCCGGAAGAGGTTGGGGTGGTATGGCGGTGGAGGGTCAAAGGTGAACGCCAGGCCGTTTGGCAGCATTTCTCGACCCAAGATGAAAGCGAAAAGGAAGCGAAAAGTGAAGATGCTGATGCTGCTGCTGCTGATGCTGCTGCTGCTGCTGCTGCTGCTGCTGCTGCTGTTGCTGATGCTGCTGCTGCTGCTGATGCTGAAACCACCACATGCTGCCTGCCGCTCGTTAAAGGAATGGGAACTTTGTTTTTTTTTTTGGCCAGGCTAAATTGTGTCATCGCCCCAGAATGGCCGAAAAGCTGGCGAATAACAAAAACAACAAAAATAAAATAAAATAAAAATAAACTTTCTAACGTCACGAGCGTTGGGCTCAAAAGAGATTCGGAACGGGGATGGGTATTACCTAGGCAAAATGGATATGGATGCACATGGAATTTTAATATGTGCCAAAAGGCGAAAAAGAGAAAGGAATGCTGCGGATGGCCAACGAGATGGGCATGCACTTCAAACAGAATGACTTCTTGATTTCACAGTTATTCCCAGGGAACTTGGCTATTATTTAATTTCAATTTTACACATAAATCATTTTTGAAGACAATATAAATATTAAATTAACAGTTTCTGTAGTTCTGTATGTTGGCGGACTTGCATTGCAAACAAACATAATACATTAAATATGTATAACGATCGAAAAATTCAACGAAAAATCAACATAGCTTCATTGTTTTGAAACATATACAGATCGACACCTACAGATCGAAATATAGTCCTTGTAAATAAATTAGTTCCCTTTCTTGTTTAAAGTGACAATGTTTAATGTTTTTGTTTTTTCCCGTACTTCCTTGCTATTTAAGACCGAATCATAATATTTTTCTGAAACAATAAAATCAGCTCAAAAGGAAGTTTCCCGGTATAATAACTTCTTCACAAAATAAGCTTCAAAGGAAGTTTTCCAATATAAGCTCTACACTTTACATTCAATTTTTAAGCTATCAAAAATATCTTAAATGCAAAATATCGGTTAGTTTTTCTTGCATTGCATATTTATATTTTTTAAATTATTGGAATTGTCAATTTGTACCTTTAACTTCTAAACAAATATATTTTGTAAAAAAAAACATTTTAATTTCTCTTGGCATCTACAGTCCTCGGTGTGTTTTAATTTCGGTTTAATAGTATTGAAAATTGTATTTAATGTTCTTTCCTATAGCTATAAAATCAAAATGCTTGGGTATTACATACTACCATTTGATGTAAAGTGTATGCTCAGGCTTGTATATTAATTATTTAAATTTGTAATAAATCATGCTAGATTTTGCAGTGAAAAGAGGCAACGAATTTATAATAATTATCATGGAAAAAAGGTTCGATCCTATCCTATCAATATAAAATAAAATTAATATATTTCATTGGAATCTGGATGTCTACAAATTTTTAATTAAAATTTTATAATAAAATTCATCATGTAAAGACTTCAAAATGCCGAGATAAGAATTCGCGATCTTAATTAAAACGTTGCCTTTACACCATTAAGTTTCTAAATTCCCCAGATGGCATCTCCTATGTGTATCCTTTCCATTACGCTCACTAATTACCCGACTCGCCGTTACTTTCCCCGCTAGTCTCGCCGATGCCTCTTCCATATGTATATGTATATGTATATTCCAGATTGGTTCCAGGAACTAAAACTAGCACATGTAACACTCGCGCGCACACACACGGGAAACGAGGCCATGCCAATTACACGTCCCATCCCGTCCCATTCCATTCCTCTTCATTCCATTTCATTCCGGCAGAGGGGCTCTTTCACTTGCATACTTGTGCACTCAGATTCACACGCACAAGGCAGACGACAGGCAGACAGAAAGAGAGGGGAATGGTGAAGGGAGAGAGTGCGGTGCACAGACAGGGGGTAGGATATTTTAGAGGGGGTTTTTTTTATTAATAAACAGTCACTCTTTAAAGGTTAATAAAATGTTCCTCTTAATATAAAAAAAAAATCAGGTTACTTAATTCTTTCAATGATACAAACATTAAAGCACTTCTTTACAATTTTAATAAGATGCTTTTTACTAGCCTTACAAGAAAATGACTTTACTTCAATTAAAAAGTTATAATTCTTCTTTCACCTTAAGATACTTAAGTGCACATAGTTATAATGAAATCAAATGATGAAATGATTTTGTACTGACTGAATGAAATAAATAAAATTATATCCAGTTTAACCAACTATGTGAAAGCTTTTGCATTTAGCAGTACGATCGTACAGAGCAGTTACATTTTAGATGAATACAAGTACATTCAGCGGACTGGCTAAAATCCCTCTTAACGAAAATCTGCACAAGCCACTGGGAGAAAGAGAAGCTTAAGCCGGCTGCTGCTGATGGGAATTATCTATCTATAAGCCGATGTTGCTGTTGTGTCTACGGCTTTTGGCTTAAATTGATTTCAATTATTTGCATCAGCTCAACTCACCTGCAGTGAAAGGAAAATGATAAGCGGCAGCCAAATCTTCTTAGCACCGATTTCTACGTTTCTTCGTAGATTTCTGCAGCGCACTTGTTTATGTTGTTGCAGTTGATGTTGCTGTTGCTGTTGCTGTTGCAGTTGATGTTGCATGTTGCTGCCGTTACTGTGGTGTCTGCTGCTGATGATGATGGTAATGTTTCTGTTTGTTAAGCATATAATTAATTTGTTTATCATTATTCGATATTTGCTGTTGTTGTGGGCGGCCGGAGATGCGGAAAGCGGACGAGAGAGAAGGCGGCGAAGAAAGTGATTTTCGCTTTTATTTCATTCCATTGTTATGGTTACCTGGTTATATGAAAGTGTTTCCCGCTAAGTGCAATTTATTAGCAATTTCTCAGTCAGCTCAATGATGATTGATTGACTCGCTAAGTGTCTCTTTTGCCCCCTTCTAACTTCCACACCCACTGTCCATAAATAAAAAGTCTTAAAAGAAGAAAGAAAGAAAGGGAAGCTGCGACACGTCAAGAGAGAAAAGAATCTGTTTAATGACAACTCACTTAACTTTTAACTTAACTGAAGAAAAGGGTAACTGGGGAGGTGAAAAGTGTTAATAGGTTTCCCCACACATAAGTGAAGTGGGTCATCTTGGCCCAGACAAATATGAATGCTCTTAGTTGGCTAATTAGAAGGCCAAAATCACTGACAAAGGTGTGAGGAGATTCCAAGGAAAGAGAGAGTGAAGAAAAGTGAAGAATGCAAGAAATACGAAACAGAACTTTGGAAGAATTGATTCCTTTGTTCATTTCTTATTAAGTGACCTTGACCAATGTCTACACACTGTATCTCTTCGATTCATTCTGAATTATCAACAGTTAATGTAGTATTTAATTTCTAATTTAAAGTAAATATTGCATTAAATTAACTGATTTGCCGTTAGATTATTTTGAAAAATTCGTATAGATATAAAGAGAAATGCAGAACCCAAAATAAACTAGTGAAGTACCGCCTTTCTCAACGATATAGATTTTGTAGTCCAAAACATGTAAGACAATTCTGTTTTTAGAAATAAACAGTTTTTAGTTAAATATATCATTACGTTATAGATTTAAACCATAAGCTTGCAAAAATTGATTTTTGACTTAGAAATATAATTTAAAGCCTTCCATTGATATTTTCAAATTTTGACAAGCTTTGCTCCACAAAATGATAAAGTTTGCAATGTAGCAATAATGTGTCTTTGTTTAAGTACATTTAATTATTGTTTTACGGGCACTTTAAAAAAATATAATAAGGCTGCTAAGTTAGGACAAAAACTTTATAAATAAATTAAAATAAATTAAGTCGCGTTTCGATTGGTATTATGGTTGTGACAACTCAGCAAATATTTTAAGTTAGTTTAACAAATAATAAGCAATTCATTTTTTTCAATTAGATGAACAACAATTAATTTTAGTAATGCAAATCTTGAAAATTATTTTTCCATAATTTTATTACATTGTACAAATACCTATGAAAAATAATTTATTTTAAAGTTAAATTTTGCGCTTAACTTTATTTTGAGAAATTTATACTTTAGGATTTAAGTTTGGGGATTTATAACTGACAATAGGCAAATATCCGAAAATTAACAGTTGATGTGTAAAGAACCAAATATAAGATAGGTTAAATTCTCTACAGCGTAAACCTAAAGATATACTTTAAAAACTAGGATCTCTATCCATCTTTCTTTCTCTACTTTAGAAACTATAGGAATCGTAACTTTTTAAGTTGAGAGATTTCTGTAACAGTTGTTTTCCTAGGATTTGCGATTCGCTGTCCGCTTTCCAAAGTAACTTCCGGGTTATTGATCCCTCTGCCGGCACTCACCTACTAGGTCCTTGACCCGATTCCGCCGTTTCACCTGGCCGTTCCAGTTAAAGTTCCGATTCCAATTTCAATTGCAAAATTCCGAAGGTTGACAAACAGGATGCGTTAGCGGCAACTTTCGAAAACAGTTGGCCGTTACTTCTGCCCGCCGATGTTGCTGCTATTGCTGCTGCAGTTGTTGCTGCTGCTGCGGCTGCGGCTGCAATGTTGCTGATGTGTTGACGGTAATGACAGTGGCAGCGGGGAAAGAGGGAGGGCGGCGTTGCACGCGGTCAACAATTAACGATCGCAAGTGGAGCACACACAAAAGAAAATATCAAAAAAAAAAAAAAAAACAAAAAGGACACAAAAAGCGTGTTGATGATCACTTTGCCAACCGTTTTGCAAGCGGTTCTATCCGTTTCGCTAGCGGTTATCTTTCTTTCTGTTGTTTGATTTGCAACTAGTGCTTGGCTGTTTTTGTTTTGCTCGAATTCGCAGAGTTTTTTTTCTGTTTTCTGTTTTCTGTTTTGTATTTTGTAATTTGTATTTTGCTTTTCAGTATTTGTTATTTTTTTGTCGAACCGAGGATCGATCGCTGGCCCGCCTGGAGAAGGTGAAAAGAGAGAGAAACGCGTCTGCTTCGCGCCGTGGTTTAGCGCCGAATGCTGCAGACACCTGCTTTCTCGCAGCGGAACACTTCGCATGCGCAGCAGCAGCAACATGACGCCGTCGACAGCGCTGCCGGCGCCGGCAGCGAAATTTCTTCTTTCCATTGAGGCCTCCACTAAGGCAGTCGGCCAAGTCCAAATCCAAAATACGATGCCAAGTACGACTTGTTCAAGTACAGCTTGCCGGTTGCTGTTGTTGTTGCCCCGTTGATGTTGCTGTTGCTGTTGCCGTTGCTGTTGCTGTTGCTGTTGCTAGTGTTGCTGTTGTTGCTCTTATGGGCCCGATGTTGCTTTTGTTGCTGCAAATATTGCTGCTGCTGTTGTTATTGGTATGTCAGATATTGTTGTTGCATTTGCTTGTTATGTTGTTGTTGCCATTGCCGTACATATTGCTATATTGTTGTTGTTGTTTTTGTAGTTAATATATCGATGTTGTTGCTGCTATTGGTATGCTTTTTGCTTTTCCTATGTTGCAGACATAGCTGATGTTGTTGTTTTTGCAAACAATTATGTTGTTGTTGTTGCTGTTTCTAAGGTTGATATTGCTGGCGTTGTTGTTGTTGCTATTCCTATAGCTGATATTGTTACAGTAGTTGTTGCTGCTGCTGCAACTTTAAATGTTGTTGTTGTTGTTGCTATTGCTGCTGTTGTTGTTATTGACGTGGCTGATATTGCTGTTGTTATTGCTGTAAATGTGGCATGCGTCGTCGGTTGCTAGTTGCTGGTTGCTGGTTGCTGGTTGCTGGTTGCTAGTTGGTTTCCCCAGTCTTCTGTTTGTTTATACTGGGCAGCAGCTTCAACTTTCAGTTGCAATGGGTTACAGAAGCAGACGACGACGTCGACGACGGCGACAATTGCATTGGGACAAGTCCTCTAACTGTTTGCACTTTCTATTCCCCTCCTGCCGCCGCCACTGACCGATTCCACTCCTCCTCCTCCCCTCGTCTTTGCCTTTGCCTTTTTGCCTCTGACCACAATTATTGTCCACTGCCAGTGGCACTGCCCATGCTCCAATTGTGGCAGGCAATGATGCCTGGAAAAGAGGCGTGGGCGCCCTTTGATTGCCACACATTGCGTGCTTCGTGGGGTGCAGTGGGTGGTGAGGGCGTATTCCAGTTGGATTAGGTGGTTCGAGAGTGCAAAAAAAAAAAAAAAAAAAAAAAAAAAAAGAATACCTTAAAGAGAACTGAAACATTAAAGCACAAAAAAGGGGGGAAGAGATATCGTGTTTTTATTTATACAGTCCCCAGTAATGTTTCATCAAGTGTTCCACTTTTCCATAAAATATTTTTGCCAACTGCCGCATTTGGCATTGTCGAGCAACAACAGCAAAAACTGTAACAACAACAACAACAACAACGCTGCAATTGCTCTCGTTGAAATAATAGGATGAGCAACTGCAACACCAGCGACAACGATGGCAATTGATAACCTGCCCAGGAACAGTGGGTCAAAATCTGTTTAACGCAATGTACATTTTGGAATTGGCCGTAATTGCTTTAAAAGTTGAAGGTCGATCCTAGTTTTTTAAGAGTTTTATAATCATTATAAATAATGGGAAAGTGAAATGTAAGTCCCATTCGGATATCTATCTATCCAATATACATTTTTATTGGGTGGAGTAAAAAGAAATTTATTTTTACCCATAAATGGAAAATGGAAATCAAATATCCAAGCATATTAATTATCCTTGGTTAATTAAATCAATATCTTAAATTATATTTTTTTGAGCTTTGATCATTAAATAATACAAATTAAGGTTTATTTTGTACTTATTCTTCAACATATTAGTTTAGTTATAAATAATATTAAGGTTATATTTACTTTTTTATAGATATTTATATGGCCCATGACTAAATTTATTTGTTGCAATAGAATGATGCTTAACCATATATAGTGATCGAAATTTCAGATGCAGAAGCAAACGAAATACATTTATTGACTAATAGTGCCTATTTTTATGATCCTTGGCCAGAATGTATCAACTTTTGCTCAATAATATTTTTTCTATGAACCTTAAAGAGCAAGGATATGGTAACATATTAATCTACATTTTAACAACCCATGGTGGTCGCCGCATTCGGATGCAATAATCTTTTTAATGGCCATATTTTTTTAATGACCCATTGACCGAGCACTTGGTGGACCCACTGTGTCGGCATCGCGATCCCGTCGGGTCGGGCATTTCATCGCCATTTCAATTCCACTTTGCAGTTTTGAGTTTTTAGGGGCGCCGTCGCATCTCTTCGCGATTCCTGTTTGCTAAATATGACCAAAAAGACCCGTTTCGAAATTGGAGTAATTTCGATTGGAGTCACTGTGTTGATGATGGTGGTGGTGGTGCTAGTGGTGCTAGTGGTGGTGGTGCTAGTGGTGGTGCTGGTGGTGTGGCTGCGGTTTGGAAGTGGTGCTCGAGAGGTGGTGCTCCGGTTCCGCCAGAAAGTTGCCAGCGGGCCTCGTCTATCGCCTCTATCGGTCCGCGGTGCACATTAAGTAACACGCGCCAGCCAGTCTACCGCCGTCTGCCAGCTTGCTCAATTACTGGCGGTTTTGCATGAGCAGGCGGTCCACGAGTCCCCCCGGAAGAACAGAGCCCCCCTTCCCCCTTCCCCCAACCCACCAAGTCATGGCATTCATATGGTTTATTATGATGCAGTGC